AAACGTTTTTAGAGGGTAGTAACCAAAGTTATTTTGTTAAATATCAAAACGGGGAAAAGTTAGTAACGCATCATTTTTTTTATTAAAAGAAATTGTGGCAAGTTGAAATATTCGGACCACCCAAAAAAATTTAAACACTCTGCATCTAAGAAACGAAGTTTATTTCGACCTACTTTTATAGGAACTTTTTTAACAAAATAACTTCGGTAACAATCTTTCGTACTATTTACAAACACCCTGTATAAATAATATAGATAAAAGAATATTAAAAAAAACTAATATCAAATAATATATATTTTTAATATTTATTGTTTGTTTTCATTAAGCAAACCGTTATAGCCCGTTAAACTTTACTTCTATTCTTTGCTATGCCACTGTATAATACGATCAAATCAAACTAATAGTTTACTGGTGAGCAAACCGATTAGAGTAAATTACTTGCATTGGCGAGACGATAAGGTTACATTTCTTTATCTAAATTACCAACTTAAATAAAGACAGATACAGACATTTTATTATTTATTTTCAAACTACTGAGGCCCTTTCTATGGGGCTTTTTTAAAGTTTTCGATCATTTTGAGTCTGTGCTATGTATGCCAGCACGATACCCCTAGAAAGAAGAAAGATACGATTAACTTGTAGTTTTGATTTTCTTGAATAATTGCTTCTTAGAATCTTATTGATTTTCAGAATTTTCGGTTTAACGTATCTACTTTAATATCAATGTTCTTAAAATCCCATGCATTTCTTATAGGGCTTATTTAACGCAGTCCAATTAGACTGTCAGATAGTGACCGATTTAGGTTCTCCATTTTTGCATACAAGCCTCGAAGAGGTTTGAAAAGTACATCGATGTTGAGTAGAATAAAAGAAAATTTACGAATGGCTTTTGGGGATAACACATGGTAAATTTGATTTTCCTTATAAAAAAATTTTCCGACCACAAAATGCACTTCATTCGGGTCTTTCAAGAAGATATGTTTTTCGGACTAGTGACGATGTACGTTTTCATACATTCGATGGGCTTGTGTGGAAAAATCGGGCAAAATCTTGATTTTTCCTTAGAAGATTGCGCCCTTATTTCAACCCTTTAGCCACTTGCTACATTAAAGCCTTTTGTTTTCCGAAGCCTATTTTTATTAATTAATCAAATATAGACCGTCAGATAGTGACCGATTTAGGTGCCCCATTTTCGCATACAAGCCTCGAAGAGGGTTGAAAAGTACATCGATGTTGAGTAAATTAAAAGAAAATTTACGAGTGGCTCTTGGGGATAACACATGGAAAATTCGATTTTTCTTATCAGAAAAATTTTCCGACCCCAAAATGCACTTATACATTCGGGTCATTCAAGAAAATATGTTTTTCGAACTAGTGACGACGTACGTTTTCATACATTCAATGGGCTTGTGTGGAAAAATCTGGCAAAATCTCAATTTTTCCTTAGAATATTACGCCCTTATTTCAACCATTTAGCCTCTTGCAACATTAAAGCCTTTGATTTTCCGAAGCCTAGTTCTATTAATTAATCATATAGTGAAAAGGGCTTGTGTGGAAAAGTGGGCAACAAATAACCTTTCGTTTTTGTTAAGGAAAATCGAATTTTCTCTGTGTTATCCCCAGCAGCCACTTGTAAATTTCCTTTCATTCTACTTAAAATCTATGTACTTTTCAACCCACTTCGAGGCTTGTATGCGAAAATGGAGCACCTAAACCTGTCACTATCTGACGGACTAATAGTGAAAACGGCTTGCGTGGAAATATGGGCAACAAATAACCTTTCATTTTTGTTAGGAAAAATCGAATTTTTCATGTGTTATCCCCACGAGCCACTCGTAAATTTCCTTTCATTCCTTAAAATCGATGTACTTTTTATCCCTCTTCAAGGCTTGTATGCGAAAATGGGGCACCTAAACCTGTCACTATCTGACGGTTTAAATATAGTAAAATCAGAATAATGCTTGGCCATGTCTGTCAACTGTGAAACTACATATGTTTTTTTTCCATAACTGCTTTTTATATCAATGTTTTCAAAATCCAATACATTTCTTATGTAGTTTATTTTATACACTCCAACATAGTAAAATCCGACTACACTACATGAACACGGTGAACTGCCCATCGTGTACATGGCTAAACCTATCAACTGTGATATGTACCAAAGATTTTTTTTTTTCACTACTCTTCCAATATGTTAAGCATTGATTTACCGATCACAATTTTTAGACAATTTATAAGTAGGTGGCGGCTGTCATCTAAAAGTCGAAATGAATCAAATTAAAACGTCAAATTTTGACTGCAAAATATTTGTAAAATGTTTTACTAAAAAATAAGAAAAAATAGATTTATAAAATGGAAATAAATGCTTTTAATTCCACCAGAAGTAAAAGCTGCTGAAAATGCGTCACGGAATGTATTGTCAGGAAACCAAATAAAATTGTATGTGGCAGCGTACGAATCTCCCTTAAATTAGTTAAAGGAAAAAACACAAAATCGTATTCGGAATCTGTTATGTTGGTGTATTTTACATAACTCTCCACAAAATATAAATCCTCAATACTAACGGACCCATTATTTAATGCTTACAATATACATCAAGGAATAAATATAGAAAATTATACGGAACTACCAGCGTCATTAAAGCAAAAAAGTGAAGATCTATAGCCAAAAATAGGTTAGTACTATCTGACAAAAATATTATTGATTTTCTTACTAAAGCCAGAGACAACCCAGCGAGACGTGTAACTCAATGTATTTCTTTTGTTCGGTAAAAGTTGTTTGGGTGATTGTAACCACAAGAGTCTATGATGGCGCCACTAGTAAATAGCGGAAAAATTTAAAAATGCTTTAGGGCGGGAAATTCAAACATGGATTCAGAAATAGTTTTTCTATACAAATTTACAGGAGAAACAAAAACTATTATTTCACTATATATTTAAAAAATGTAAAAGCTTCCAATAACATAAAAATTTTTATCACATAAATAATCATTTTAATAATGAAAATTTTAATCAGTTTAATATAAGCAGTGAACATAGTTTTTATTACTCTTGTAAATTTCGCTAAAAAAACTTGAACATTCTATTGATTATTAAATATTTAAACTTGGAAAAATAGTACACTAAACTCTTTTTCTATAAATTATATTTTTATAAGGTACAATTGCTAGGTTTAGAAAGTACCTCGTATTATTTAGTGACAAATTAAGTAACAGTTGTTATATATTCATAATATATTTAAAAAATAATGTATATCGATACCTTTTTGCCAGACTATCATAAGTGCCATTATAACAAATGTCGCTTACATTAGTCTGGCAGAAAGGTATCGATATGTTATGACTGTTTATTTTAATAGGAACCATGGAAACGAAACAAACACACACACACATACTCTCACACAAATGTATAAGGTCCAAGTCGAGTAAGTTACCATCCTGTAAACTGGATGGAAACCTGCTAGGCCCATTCCGTCCACCCCCCTGCTAACTCCTCTTAGGGTCATCAAGATGAATAGATTTATATGCCATGCCTTCTAAAAGGGAATGAAGGATGACATACTATCATCATTTAAACAAGACGTTGCTGAAGGCTTACTCCTGTTATGTCGTCTGTTTGTGTGTAGCGGTCTATCGCGCTTGTATTCATTTATAAGCAAGTTTATGTGTCAGAGACTGCTGGGCTTCGAATCCCAGACCAGACCATGTGGATTTTTAATTAAATTGCATGGTTCGGTATAGGATTTTCCTCACCTGTAAGTCAAATGGCACCATCAATCATCTTTAAGTCGCCCCGGAGCGCCACGGCAAATAATTATAATAGCCGTCCCTTTCCCCGCACAAGCTCAGCTTTTGGGGTTAAAATTCACTCGTAAGGGGGTGAATTAGGGAGATTATTATTATTATTATTATCTTGTGCTTGTGCATTCCTGTTGTGTCCCCAGTCATGTAAAAGTTTTCCTAGTCTCCTAATTTGGTGATAGATGAACCTTATCCAACTAGTCGTCTAATCTATTCAATCTGCTCTGCAGCAGGAGGTACTTTTCAAACATCGCAAATAATAATATTAATAATAAACACTATTTAAAGATGAATACATTTTTGTAATTTTTTGTCGTTGTCCCTTAACTGTCTCTTACACCACCAGGATATACCTATTTTCCATACTCCCTTAATTATAGATTACCTTACGATGTTTGAATGAATATAACATTTTACCCATGAAAAATATAATTTCGAATTTAACTCTTTTTCAATTTCATTTGAAACAATTGGTATATTACAATTTATTATCAAGGAAATCTTCTAATAAAGTTATAGCAGATCCTACTCAAACTTACTGGATGTTCTGCTGGATAAATTAACTTTTCTTGAGATTGATCTCTCTCTAAAATCCAAATTTATTTTCCAATGCATCCTGATTTAAAATTCTGCCCTTTTGTGATTTAATTTTTTTTCTTCGTTTAAATGACTCTACAATCTTCTAATAGCCACTAGAGTCAAAGGGACAAAGGAAACAAATATTTTTACAGGCTAAATGGTAAAAGGATCATTTACATGGACAGATTTAAAAAGGACTAAATATTTTTAGATAAATAGGTTTAAGAAGTAAGGAGTCCAAATATTTTACATGAGCAGGCTTAAGATGTAAAGGGGCCAATTATTATTAGATAATTGTTCGAATAAGTTCTAAACCTTAATTAAAAGACGATATGGATTGGTTTTAAAAATGAAGGCTTGTGACAATCATTACGTGGTTTAACTTAAGTAATGGAAATGCTACTCAAACCTGAAAATTCAACGTTTTTATACTACTATCGGCTTTCGGTATTTCGTTCCAAATCAAATCATTTCTCGTTTTTCTACGCTACGAGTTTACCCTTGTGGCCCTCAGTCTCGATAAGGTGGGAACCACTAATTTAGCGTCACTCGAATTTCTGATTCTTTAAAGGTAACTCAAAAAATGTTTGCCTATTTCTAATCATATTAATTTATGACATACCTGGTGTGTAAATAGGATTCACGGTAGTACAAATAAAGCCAGCTCTTAAGGCTCCCAATGTTACAATGGGGAACTCAGGTACATTTGGTAACAATACGGCAATTACATCGTTTTTTTCTAGTTTAAATTTCTTTCGAAGTGCTGCGCCAAAGTTTTTTGATTTCGTTCTGATTTGGCCGTAGGTGTATTTTCTACCAGTTACTCCACATTCCTGAAAACAAACGTATCTGCTTTAGTCATTGTTAAAATAATAAAACATTATATAGTGGAAAGATTATGCGCATGTGCCTCTAACGAGGAAAATTTACATTACAATCTAAAAGATCTGTTATTTGACAACTTTTTTGTAAAAAAAACTAAATGTAATGTTTTGAAAAAAACGGAAAAGGGGTGTAAGCCTGTTATGGAGGTGTCGTCATGTGAAATATGACTGTCATGCGTCACAAATGACAAGAGCGGCAAACGGGAACGGTCACATCGATGCCATTGATGGTGAAGCTCAAAGTTACTATAGTGTAATAAATAATAAAGTTCTTTCAAAAAACTAATGAAGAATATCACTAAAATAAGGTAAGATAATTGTGTATTGTCTGGGTAATACCACCAGACAACACACATAGTCCAATGGGCGTCCACTTTAGATCCATTTGCGGGCCAGTACGTCCATATCCGAATTCGGACATCCAGTGTACGTCCATTTATGATCATTAATTTGACAGCTGCATATCGATGTCCAGAGGACATCTATTTTTGGACTTAATTTTAAGTTTAATATTATTTTGACGTCTAGTGGACGTCCATCTTAGGTCATTATTTGTTTAGCCTACCAGATAATACCCATCTATATATATATATTTATATTTTTAATAAAATTGATCATTAAAAATTAACAAATTAAATCTATTATATTTCATTCTATCAGCGAAGTTTGAAATCCTAGTATAACCAACCGTATCTAGTAAGAATTTGAAGGCCCAGAAAGACAATGGACGTGTCGTGAGTTCGATACATGCGCTGATCAAGTGATTTTTAATAAAAAAAATAAATGGTTTATAGCGGGTTGCGAAAATAATAAATTAAATATTAATATAAAATAGTGTGTGGTGAGTTGTGGTTGTGTAAAAAAAGTAGGAATGTGGTCTCAATGCAATATAATCCAGGAATGGATATTTTTTTAATGTCCAGTATTGAACGTCCTTTTATTTGGACGTCCTATAAACGGTCAAAAGTGCGCCATTTGTATACTTCACTGGACGTCGGAAGTCCAGAAAAACTCATCTTTGTCCAGACATCCAAAATTATTTATCGAATGGACGTCCTATGGACCCATTTGTGCTGTCTGGGTAGATATCTAGCAGAAGTTTTCCCGGCGCCAATACTGGACAGGTCCGGTTGATTTGTTCCTATATTGAATATGAGCATTTCTCTAATTTATTTAGTTTGTACGTCACAAATATAGAGTCTGTTGAGCTTGATTATTATCCGTAGAGTACATTACTTTACAATGCGCAGAAACCAGATTGAATTTATAGGTAGTAGACGTACTCACAGACCTCCCAGCATCTTATTTATAATATTGCACAGTTGCATTGAGTAGCGTAGTAAGCGTTTTACTTATTGCATTTCCTTTCATTATTTTCTTGTGTTTTGATTTGATCCAAAGAATGTTTTATACCTAAATAAATCATTTAAAGAGTAAAAAAGTAAGTTTTATGAATGACCATTTTTATAAATAAGTAAAAAAAGTATTTTTACACTTATACTGGTATGTAAAATCACACTTTATACAGAATAATTATTGAAAAAGGAACATAAGACCCCATGTAAAGGTCGAAAAATTGTTGTATTTTTTGTGCATATCAAAATAGAGATACTTTTAGAGAACCAGGGGGTATGTACATCAATGAATCGTTTACATATTACTCATATTTATATGCTCAAGATTAAAGTTTAATTATAATTAATTTAAGCGTGATCGTAGATAAAATGTATGAACACGTGTGAAGTGCTTCTCATCTTTAGAACTAAAGTTACACAAGTTGGATATTATTCGTTTTAATCATAACTTTTCTATATATTTCAAATATTCTACGGAAAAACAGTTAGCCGACCTAGGCCAATAAAGCAAGGTTAAATATCGAGGAGCTCTAATTTCGAACATTTGTTTTAGGACTCCTAGTAGTCGTCCTAAAAACTAAATTTTTCGTCCTTGGTACATAAACTACTATTTACCTTTTGTTCAAAACAAAATTTCTTACATTTATTAGCTTGTTGAATATGAATCAAAAACACTTATTATGACAAAAGGGCCAAGTTCTTCACGCCAGACCAAAAAAGTAATTTCACGCCTGATTAACTTCATGAAAGACGAGGCTGAAAATGGTGTTAAAATACCATTGAACAAATACAGAGATAGAGAAAGAGAGTTCTAGCTGCTACAGGAATATCTTTGAACAGTTATTGTAGAATACAGACGCTGGCTCGTAAAGTAGAAAGCGGAGTACTTCATTTTCACATTTTTCTCAAGTAGGTAAGGTGAAAGTCCAGTTGTTGAATCCATGAGGCCTGCAGAATTGGAACAACTCAGGAGCATAATTCATGATTTTTATATCATTGAGAAAAAGCTACCAACTCTAAAATGTAAGTGACTTTTTCGATATTAATAACAATGTATTTTATTGGATTTTATTGTAGATCAGGTTTCTCTTGAGATAAATGAAGTTGAGAGCCAAGTGAAATTAAATGAATACATTAATTTGCCTAACAATGCTCTAAGCAAGAGGAGTGGTCTACAGTCGTTAGGAAAAATACACATAGATGGAAAATAATTGTAGTAGCAATCAAGAATCAACAGAAGTTACCGGAGTTCAAGAAGTTGTGAGCCTACATGTTTATGGGTTAAATCCTAAAACGACAGCTGAAAATTTGACCACTTTAATGAAAAGTCATTTATTAGAGTTTAAGTGTGAACAGTTAAATTCCAAATTTCCAAATGTGTATAGTTCTTTTAAAGTAACAATTTTTGGAAAATTATAATTTATAAACAGTTACTATTCTTATAATTCGCCAATTCATTATTCTGATTTTAATACATTACCTTGTGATCATTCATATAAAAATTCTTAATTATCAAGAAAAAAGTTTCGTTCATGTCACCTCCGTTCAATTAAATGACGGTTAGCGAATGGAGGTGACTTTAATGAATGGGAATAATAAACACGGTAAATTTATATTAAATTTTGTAGTGTTCAGATACGAAGATGGCAAAATCCAAACAAACCAAAACAGATGAAGAAAAAAGAAGAGAAAATAGGGATAGAATGAAAAGAAAACGAGAAGCTATTAAAGCAAATCCGGAATTATACAATGAAATGAAAATGAATGAACGTGAAAGATATCACAGACGTGTTCAATGCGGGAAAATAAAAAAGGTAGAAGAGTTCAAGAGTGAAAGATATGGAGAGAGAAGAAAAGAGAAAGCTGTCTAAATAAAAAAAGACAAGAAGAACATTTCCAAGCGTTTACGGAAAATACTCCATCTGGGACTCCTCAGCCAAGAGTTTATTTACAAAATAATGAAATTCTCGGAGATGCTCAGTCATCTCACCAAAAACAAAGTGGTCTGAAAAGGGCTCGCAAAAACAGAAAACAGTTAAAAACAATGCATAAATGAATTAAAAAAAGTTGAAAACCTCACTAGAAGCAACGCCACTTACTGAGTACGACTAAGTAGGTTAAAAGAAGAACAGAAAAATAATTTATCTAATACACCACGTAAAAGAGTTAATAATTTGTTAGATGGACAACCTGTTAATGAAAAAATTCGAAAACAAATTCTTTTTGCAGAAGTTTTAACAGAACAATTAACAGACAATTTTAAAAAAATCAAATCAAGACAAGGAAAAAATGAATTTGCTTTGAGTATAACAGGAAATCTGATGAAAAAGTATCGATTTAAAAATGTAGTCAGTTCTATATCGGCAAGAAAATTTGCAAATAAAACACATTGTATATCTAGTAGAAGAAAAAAATTATTAACGGAAAAGTATAAGCTAGTGAAGAAGTTTCTGGAGAGAGATGAAATAAGTCGTTTGTGTCCAGGAAAAAATGATGTTATTACAAAAAACAAAATCAAAAAACAAAAAAGGTTACTAACCGATTCGATAAAAAATATATACAAAATGTTCAGATTTGCATATCCTCATACGAAGATAAGTTATTCTTTGTTTTGTAAACTAAGACCATTTTATGTTCTTTCTCCAAATGCCAAGTCCCGAGAAACATGTTTATGCGTTATTCACGAAAATATGTTACTGCTTGTGAGCAAAATGAAGCTTTTAAAAATCATAAACGAAAATTCCCCTAGTGAAATAGTGAACTCGCTCTGTTGTAGAGATCAAACAGAGCTCTGTCGTGAAAGAAGTTGCGCAACTTGCAAAGAGAAAACCATAGTCCATAGTAACCAATGAGTATAATTCTGATGATATTACGTCATATAAAAAGTGGGAGACAGCAAAAGTTACTCTTTTAATTAAAGGTGTAGAAAAGCAATGCCAAAAAACAATAAAAAAGCTTAACTTGTACAAAACGAGAATTAGTTGTTGTTTTGGAAAATTCAATAACTAAATTTATGGCTCACACAAATAATATTAAGCATCAGTATCATGCAATCTCTGAAATAAAACAAATTCTCAAGTTTGAAGACGTATTAATACACCTTGATTTCTCTGAAAATTACAATACTAAATATACAAGAGAAGTTCAGTCTGCCCACTTTGGAGGTTCCAAAGAACAAGTTTAGCTTGCATATTTTGGTTTTCTATTACAAGAGTCGCGAGTCCAATTCCGTGAAACCAATTTCAATGTGTACTATGTCTGAAAGCCTCAGACACGATCCGGCGGCAATACTGGCTCATATCCAGCATGCCGTTACTGAAGTAAAGGTTTTGGTACCGATCATTAACAATGTTTACTTTTTAAGTGACGGACCTGTAACGCAATACAGACAGGAACCGAAAAATGTTCTACTTAATGGGAATTGAAATTCCCAAGCCAATAAATGTTAATAGTCTTCAGTGGCATTACTCGGAAAGCGGACATGGCAAAGGGGATCCGAATGGTGTTGGAGGTTGCATTAAAAGGACTGCAGACCGAGAAGTGGCTACTGGCACGGACATTACTAATTAGTTAACGAATTAAATGGAAATTTAC